CTCAGCCTCCAAAATGCTGGAACTATAGGCATGCGCACTATACATGACAAGTTTTTTTAAAACTTGCTTTCCAGACGCTTCCTTCTTGGGAACAAGCCACCTGACTATGCGCAGGCCACATGGAAAAGCTCAGTGTCGTGCTCCAGTGGACAGCCTCAACTGAGCTGCCAGCCAATAGCCAAGATCCACCACCAGACTTTTGAGTGACTCATCACGGATGTCCAGCGCAGCTGAGTGTGATGACGCTAGTTGCCGCAAAAGACACCTGATTGCAATCACACCAATGACAACTGTTTAGCTGAACCTTTTCTGACTTCTTGATGAACAAAACAGTGAGGGACGTAATATGAGTGTGTAGAGCACCGAAGGTTGTGGATAATTTGCTAAACAGCACTAGATACCTGGAATATGTATCATGTTTTTAAAACAATCTCATCTTTTTTAAAACTCAGAAATTTTGTTTTTAGCAAAAGCTGTAGGGCCCCTGTCCTGATAAGATGTTAACACCCTTTCAAAACTTTCTTTCTCAAGAGAAAGGGAAGGGGCAGAGACAAGTGGATATCCAAAAGCAGTCGCTGATTTCAGATATCTCAAAGTAACAACTACGTGGTAGCTCTACACCCTCATATTCTTTCAGAAATTATATTTTAGGGGTAAGAAGGGGACATCTAACTTTAATTAAATTAAATGGCATCAGCATATTCTAGCAAAACCTGTTACTTCACATGTTTCAAAGTAAAACTAATTCAAAACAAAAGGATATTGTCAAAGTTGAGAGAAGTCAATAAAAGGAAAAAAACCAGTAAACTTAGCAGCAATAGAAACTTTCAAGCAAGAGAATTAAATTAAAACAATTTGACCATGATGCAACCTATCTAAATGTGAGGATTTTCAAAATGGGACCTGTACTTGCCCTAATTAAGAAGTATGAGATGTCATGTTGCTTCTAATAGATATAGACTCAGAAATGTGATTTCACCAAACTGTGATATCTTCATTAATCAATATGTACTTATGATCAGACATTGTGCAAGAGACAAGCATAGTCTCTGTCATCAAGAAACATGAAATATACTGTATTGAAAGGCAAGGTTTTAAAAATGAATTTAATATGTATAAAATCTTTCCAACATTTCCAGGTCCATTTTCAATGCCATGTAGCTGCTAAGTAAACACTCATCCATTCCTCTATTCAACAAATATTTATTAACTACCTCTACATGTCAGGCACCATGCTAGGTGCTAGGGATAGGGCTGAACAAGGAGCTTACGTCACAGGACAGAACAAATATTGAATAAGCAGCAAACAGTGGCATCCCGAGAACATTTTCAGGATTCTTGAGAAGCAGCAGAGACACCTGATCCCAAGTGACCAAGTCTAGGCCAGGCCCACCCAGATGGACTCCACAGCATGTCTACTGGTCATTTAACAAGAACGGAAAAGTAGTTTGTCCCAGGCCCTAACCAAAATCTAGTATATAAGGCCAAATTTGGGAGAGGCTGGCATGCCAGCAGAGCAGTCAAGATCTGCTGCTAAAATTCCATACTGGATCAGAGAGAAAGTCCAAGGGCACAGACCACATAGAGCAGAGCAAGTGAACAATGTAGCTGAGCAGGAAGACTAGACATAATGCTTGAAACTCCAGAAGTCTGATGCCTGAAGTGGGGTTGTTATGGTTTATATCTAGATGTCCCCTCAAAGTCTTATGCACTCATAGATGGGGCTTTTGGGAAGTGACTGGATCATGGAGGTGAGTTACTGGATTAGCCTGCTGATTGGTTTATAGCTGGGTGTGGTGTTGGGAGGTGAAGCCTGGTGGAAAGTGATGTGTCACCGTATATATCTTTCCTCTTCCCTTGACGGCTCATTGCTTCCCACTGCCATGCCATGAGCAAGTGCCAACCTCCTCTGCCATGCTGCCCTTCCTTGGAGCCAGCTGACTACAGACAGAAACCTGTATAGATTGTGAGCTGAGATAGACCTTTTCCTCCTTTAACTTGTAGATGTTGGATATTTTGTTCCAGCAAAGAGAAAGGAAATAAGACAGGGGTCTACCACTCTGGCAGGGACTCAAAGCCCAAATGGATCTGGACATATTGGAGCTTGAGGCACACTAATCACTTGGGATGTTTCTGACGACAATGTCTCAATATGAATGCAACAGTTATTTAGTGAGGAAGCAGAGCTGACACTAACATAAATTTTTTTCATTTCTGCTGTATATGTGGCTGGAGTGGGACCAATTTAGGTGTGTGTGGGGGGGTACTAGGGATCAAACTCAAGGGTACTCTACCACTAAGCTACATCCCCAGACCTTTGAAAAATTTTTTTTGTTTTAAAGAGAGTAATAAATGAGAAACAAACAAACAAACAAAAAATAGAACAGTAGCAGCATACCAGTATCACGAACATAAACAAATCAGAGCAAGAACGTTCAAAGTGATCCAGGGTTTCAAGACAATATAATACGAATCAACAGTGGTTGTTACATTGCATACCGCTATCCTCAACTACATTGCTCAGATTACCAGATGTAAGAATGAAAGATTGCTCAAACCATTAAAGAGAATAAGAAAATAATTCTTCAATAAAACATTAGAGATAATACAGAGTTTCACTAGACAAGATGGTAGGAGTCCACCATTGTAATTCCATTGCATATTGTTACCCTCAAAGCAGTTGCTCAGATCATGAGACACAAGCATGCAAAGTTGATCAGAACATAGAAAGTTGTTAGCATTAACTGCTCATTTCAATACACCATCAGACATCAGCAATACAGTCATTGCAGCTATTCATATATATATTTATATTTTGCTTTCCTTCTTTCTTTTTTCTTCTTTCCCTCATCCCAGTCATTCCTTCCTTTGAGCAATTTCTTTCCCTTTCTATCATCTATTGTACGCTTTGAGTTTTACCTAGTCTTTCAGGTTCCTACACCAAGGAGACAATATGATGTTTACACACCCCAGACCTTTTTTATTTTTTATTTTGAAGCAGATTCTACTTAAGTTCCCCCAGGCTGGGTTTAAACTTCCACTCCTCCTTCCTTGGTTGGGGTTACAAGAGTGTGTCACTAGGGTAGGTTTTGATGGTTATATAAATAGTCATACATGGAGATCTGAATTAAATGGCACTATATTTCTGATTTCCACTGGGGACATTATTACCTTTATAGGCTGGTGCTCAGAGCACTTATTTAGTTAGCTGAACTTTTAGTTTGGTAGTGAGCATGAAGGATCTCAAAATAAAATGTGTATACACTAACTGCCCTGATGTGAATGACCAAGGGGTATTCATCTATGTCTATGTATAAAAATGTGTGAGTATGTGTGTGTGTGTGTGTGTGTGTGTGTGTGTGTGTGTGTGTCGCCTCCTGAACAAGTGGATTTTGCAGAGTTTGGATATACTGCAAAAAGTTTGATCCTATGGAGATTGTCTAAACTTTAACACTTGAGAAAAGTTTAGAGCTCAAGGGTTTTTATATGGCCTTTTTCCTTTGCCTTCAAATCCCAGAGCCTGGATTTAGGAGTCTGTAGAATGTGGTAAAACCATGTCTAGCTCCTTAATGGTTGTAGGACTCTTGGTAGGTTACTTAACCTCTAAATGGCTAACTGATGTTTTCCTGGTCTGTAAAATAAGGATAATGATATTTGGCTCATAAGATGGTTATGAGGATAAAACAACATATAGCAAGTGTTTATTTGTGACTCTTGGTTTGTAGTAAGTACTGAGTAAATAGAAGCTATTCCTGTTAGATTTAAAGGTACCAAGTAAAGGCCATGAACAACCAGATGCCACCCCTCACTAAGGTTTATGTTCTTTTCATACTATAGGCAGAATCTGCAAGTAGACACTTAAAATATTGAGTAGGCTCTAGACTTAACTAAACCGAACACTTAAAATGGTCCATCATTTGCTACTTTACAAGGTACTCAAGAGCTACTCAAGTCTCTTCCAGACAGAGTAGCCTTTCCTCATCTTAAAATAGGCTAAATGACTTTGTGGACAAATGCCGATCTGGCTTAAAAACCCAGGCATTTCTTGTTTCTACATAAATTAATAATTGAAAACAGAATTTCTAAACAACAAACTTCCATTTTGCTGAAAACAAGAGTCTAATGGATGCCTCTAAACTTAGCAAGCTCTCCAGATGTACCATCCGTGGGTTTTTGTCAACTCCCCCGTAATGTACCCTGATGGCCAGGGATTGGCAGCGCTGGAGGGCATCGGGTGCAAATAGGCAACAGTCCAGGAACAACTTCTTCCTGGACCGTAGATTCTCACACTGCTAGAGTGGACTTTGAATCCATTAATTTTCGATGAAAAAGTAAGAGTGATGTGTTCTGACATCAGTGGTTTCAAACAACCTAGTGAGACATACTAGGAAGCCTTCCAAAATTGATGAGCTCAACTGCTGATAGGAGAACTGAAGAAAATGTTCAGCACAGCTGAGATAACCCAGCAGTTCTTTCCCAAGCTACTTATGAATCCTGAAACTGGAGTTCATTTGGAGTTTATTTTATTTTTTTAAATTTGGAGCCAGAAATCTTTCTAATTCTTCTCAAAGCAGAAAACTTTTTTTCCCCTGACCTCATTAGATTTTGTTCAGGCTTGTCCATTTAAGTGTATGTCTTCATTAGTTATTAGATGAGTTAGCAGACTTCCACTTTAAACTTCAAGGAAAAAGTACTAGTAAATGTATATGATGCTAAAAATGTGTTGCCTTTCCCTCCGGCCCCCACCAAACCCTACGCCAAACATTTCTGTCCTGGGGGCACACACCATTTGAAAGGAGAAAGTCATGCCTGTTCCTGAATGTGTCTCAGATGTTTTGGAAGGCGCGCAAACAAGACACGCTCACTTGTGTTGCTGGTAGGAGGGCCTAACGGGCCTGGAGAGGCACTCAAATGGTTTAAATGTGAAATGATGAAACTTAGACTTTCAAGTTTTAAGATCAGAACCAGCAGCAAATGTAACTCTAAATCCTTGCTCCTAGATCTTTCAGCAGGCAGCAACATGTGAGCCCACAGCTGACAGACACAGGAGGAAAATATACAAGAAGAAACGGATGAGAGAGGCCACTTTATGCTCATTGGGTAGCGATAGGCCAGTGGGATCTGTCTTACTGGAATAATCCATAGCAAGATGGTGGATATGTTTTCCTTTATTTTAATTGTAACTATTGAAGATGTATTCTATAGTTTCGGACATAAGTTGTGGGGCTTAGTGCAAAATGAAAGTGGAGGAACACTTGTCTGAAAAGCAGGAAAAGAATGTTATTAATGTACTAAAATATAAAATGCTTCCTGTTGTGCTATCATTCTCTCTTCTGTGTTGTGATGTGTTTTATTTCCTATTTAGTGACTAAATCTTCACAGACACATAAAGATCCTGTGATGGGGTGTCCATGGTCCACTGAGTGCCAGGTTCCTCCCACCAGCCACTGGACTAGCACAGAGTGCCCTGGCCCCAGAGAGAAAGCCGATCTCCCACTGCCACAACCCACTGCAGACAAACAACTTTCATGGGATTGCAAATTCCATAGCTAAATTGGGGTTGGCTACAGGCTCACACCTACCAAGATGCCCACAGAACCCACCATAGTGCTGCCAGCCTAGGGTGAGGACAACTATGGTCATGTCCCACCAGAGATTCTATGGGGCACATGCCCAACCCTGATCCCCCACCTTGACATTTCTGGCACCTATACCAGGTGAAGTATGAGTCAGCACTTACCCCACTTTCAGCTCCCCACACCAACCCTCTCCTTTTCCCCAGTGCTCCCTGGGTACCGCCCTAGGTGGATGGTGGCAATGGTCACAGAATAGAGAAAAGGAGGCCAGGTAGGTCAGTCTCTAAACACCAACTCTCATGCTCCATTGTTCCATAGTACTTTACTTACCAAACATGAATTCTATGATTAGTAAATGATTGAATAAAATAAGTCCAATATTGTTTACTGACTGGCTGACTGTTCTCTCTGAAGTTGGTAACCCACTGTCCCTGTTTTCAAAAACAATGAACTTGACAGAAGAGAACCTATTTCATTTGTGAGATGTGTCACATTGCATAGAGTTCATTTGAAATACTGTTAAGACAGAATAAATTCATTTCCTCCCTTGTAAAAGTCATTTGAGCTTAACAATGTTATACTTATTTTCCTGATATTTGTTTAATTAATATCAACATGGTAATGAGAAGCGTGCTAGTATTTTGCCAAATTACCATGGAAGTCATTTTCCTGAAATGTTCCCCTGTAGAGGATGTCCTCATTCACTTATATTTCCAATCACAGTCATAAGGGGTCGTAAGGCCTCTGGAAGCTGTGCTCTCATGATGTTACTTTATCATGGGATGGGTGACCCAGATATAGCCACCTAACATTTCTGACCTTTGATTTCTTCATCTGTAAAACAAAGACTGACCCATCCTACGGAATTATTTTCAGGCTCTTACAAGAAAATATGAGTTAAGTCCCACTGCAAACTTTAAAGCCCAGTTTAAATACAAATGATTCTCCTTGCCCAAAGTCACACACAATACTTATGTCAAACCAGATCCATATTTGGAGAGCCTGATGCCTGCTCCAGTGCTCTTTGTGCCATATTCAGAGTTCCTGAGTCATGAAGAATGACAGCTCCTTATCACCCACTGCTTCATCTGTCCACCCATCCATTCTTTGATCTAATAAATATTTATTGAATATCTTTGCTTTCATGGAGCTTACCAAATACATAAATAAATATGTCACTCTTAGAAAGTGATAAAGATAGAATGTGGAAATATGGAGAAAATAAATGAGAGGGAGAAAGAATAGAGGTGCGCGCGTGCAATTTTAAATAGGAGAGCAAAAAAGGCCTCAAAAAGGTTATTCGGGCAACAGCCTGAGGAAGTGTATTCTAGAAAGAGGAGGCACGACTGGTGCCATCTTTGCTGCACCCCGGGGGGGGGGGTTGATCCTGGAGCTGAACTTTTCATCTGCAGCCCTCCTCCTCCTACTAGAGAAAACAAAAAACAAAACTCCCTTCTGATCATCCATGCTGCTCGGTGCTGTCTGGAACAGAGCTTTCCCCGTCAAGTCCTCTGAACACCGTGCTGCTCCGAGTTGGATGACTGGTTCACTGGAACAGGTTTCATGGTTGGATAGGCTGGGCACATGGTCCTTCCTAGAACCCCTTGTATTGGAGTCAGACTTGGCCACCTCTGTGAGAAGGGTCAGGCCCTTCAGCTTTAACTCTGAGTTACAAGATTAAACACAGGGGACACATGAGTAGGACAGAGAGTCTCACTATCAAAGAGTCAGATCAGTAAATGTTTTAACAATTTTTTTTAATGCTTTTAGACTCACAGAAAACTTGCAAAACTAAGAACAATTTTATACCCTTTATGCAGATTCATCTACTGTTAACATATTACCCTATATGTTTTCATATTACTCTATCTGTATCTTCAACTCATTATCTATGTAATTTTGTTCTGAACCTTTCAAGAGTAGGTTACATACAAATACATGATGGCCCTTTGCTCCTATTGGACCTATTCTCTTACATAACCAGTCCAGTTTTGAGCTTCAGGAAATTTCAGTTTTGTCATATCACCTTAATATTGTCCTTCAATAGAGTCATATTTCCCCCAGGACAGGATCCAGCCTAGGGTCAGGTATTGTCTGTAACTCTTACGTTACTTTAGCTTCCATTAATCTGGCATATTTCCACAGCCTTCCCTAACATATCACATCGACAGTTGCATGATGTCCACCTGCCCCTCATTGACATGATTACTTTTTACTCACTAATTTCTCCACTATAATATCACTAAATCTCCCCTGCTTTGCATGTAAAATACAAAGTGTATAATGACACTGCAAGTTCATGCAAATATCCTGATTTTCATCAAAATGTCTTCTTAGAGTTATCATTTGATGATGATTCTTGCTGAAAAAATCTTTACCATAAATATACAACGTGATTTTTTCCATCTCTGATGCTCTATCCCCATTGACCAGCTGACTCTTGACATCCAACTATAAAATAGATTTCCCTCCACCCCATTATTTATCCATATGTCCGCCATCTATTTATCTGATTAGCAAGGACTTGTGAATTCCTGTTTTCCCAATGGTTTATAATTCATTACTGTGCTTAATTATGTTGGTGCCAAAATTGTCCCATATTTGGCCGGTAGGAGCCCCTTCAAACTGGTGCCTGTATCTTTGTAACAAGCCCTCATCGTTTTTTTTTTTTGAGCATGTCCTTACATTCTTGTAGAACAGGGTGCTCCATGATAGTATTAGATGCCAAGATCTCAGTGTGAAAAGTGCTCATTTTATTGGGGTTTCTTTGCTTGTTGCCTCTTCATTCTGAGACACGTGCATGTAGATATATGCATGCACATAAACATCATATATACTTATAAACAAGTACTTTAGAAATCATAAATTTGCACTGATATACTTCTAATTCTAATTTATCTCTATAGGAATATTTCTCCCCTTCTCCCATTTCATGTTTTTACAACTTTTCTTCTGCACTGAGAATGCTGTCTCTCAATAACATCAACACATTTTACTCATTTGCTCAGCCCTATAGTACATCGAAGTTAGTTCAGTATTATTCACTCACTCTGCCAGAGACAATTCTACAAAATGAAGTTGTAATTAGTTATAATTCTTCTGTCAGCTCTTGCTGAGGGCTTATAGTAAAAAATTTTCTTCTTTCCTTACTTGGATTAGTGTTTTCTTTCCTATTTTCCCCTCACACGTGATTATGATGCTCATTTGTAATGAAGTTAAGATCATTTGTTTCCATTATTTTCATTTTTGGTGCTTATTCCCTTCCCATTCTCACTGATTCAGTTTTTGGTTTTGTTTTTTTTTTGTGTGTGTGTGTGTGTGTGTATGTAGAGTACTGATGTACTTTCAAAAGTCAAACGTCTACCAAAACTATACTCAGAGAAGCATCATTCCTTCCCATTTCCCTCCCACATCCTCCTCCTCCTCCACAGGATACCAGCTGCAAAGTTTTTTTGGTTTATCCCTCTTGTGTTTCTTTTTAAAAGATAAACAAAAATAAATGCTTTTGTGTTTTCCCCTCTTTCTTATACAAATGTAAGAGAGGGAGCATCCTGTATATGATTTTTTAAACTTTGCCTTCTTTTCAACAATAGCTTCTGAAAATCACACCATAGCAGTTCATAGAGGGCTTTCACACTTTTCGTCAGAGCTGTGTGGCACTCCATTGTGTGTGTATCCCACAGCTTACTCAGCTACTCTCCCGTGCATGGGCATGGATGCTGTTTCCAGAATTTTGCAGTTGCAAGGAAAGCTGCAATAAATGACAGATGGTAAACTATTAAAAAGAGTATTTCATAATCCCTAAAGAAGCAAAAAGGAGGATAAACACATTTAATAGGAGTAGCAGTTGTAAAAGCCAACTTATCCTGGCTAGCTTGACTAGTAGATAACATGGACAGGTCTGTCCAAGAGGTAAGCAAAGTCTTAACTGTAGTCTTACCTTCCTAAGAGCGTGTGTATGTGTATGTGTGTAGGAGGGGTTGTGCTGTTTTAAAGAACTAGCAGAAGAAACAACTAGAATCTCATCCTCAATTTTACTTGACGTATAACTGCACATACCAAACCCAAACAAGAGGCTATAGCGTTGCTCGTACATGTGTGGCAAACACAAAGAAGACCATTTGCACACGTGTAAGCACATTGGATAAGCTTGATTGGCATTTACTATACATTTTGTATGCACCAGAAATGGTGGAGTAAAAGGCACTACATTGTGCTGTCAAGAAAATAAATTCTACTAGAACACCGTTCCTGAGAACTAGAATCAATTGTATTCTTCTTTGCTAAATATTTCATGACACACCACCCCCCATGGGAGCATTATACTCCCTTTCCCTGTGGAATTTAGGAGTGGCCACTGCTTTCACCAATGACGTGTAGACAGAAACAATATGTGTCATTTCTGACAAGAAGCTTTGGGAGTCAGTCCAATTTCACCATGTCTTTTATTTCCCTTTGTCTGAAGTCAAAGAATATTCTAGAAAGAGGTTGTTTCAAGACTTTCATAAAAGAAGAAAGAAGGTTAAGATTGAGAAGGTACTGAATATCATTAGTCATCAGGAAAATGCAAATTAATGAGACATTACTTCACACCCACTCAAATGGCTGAAGTTTAAGAAGACTGTCTTGTTAGCAAGCTTGTGAAACTCAAGCTGCTTGTTGGGATTGTAAAAAACGGTACAACCACTTTGAAATTGATCATTGGTCGGTTTC